ATAGTAAGAGCCTAATTAAACATGTAAAATAGCCATTCAATTTTGAAATCAGATCTACATTACAAAATTAATATATCGGATACAGTGCCAGTGTGCGGGGAGAGAGGGTAAGAAGCACAGCAGCGAAGAATTAAACTAAAACTTAATCATAAAAGCAGGTAAGAAACATAACCCTTCACAAATATAGCACAATTGTATCTTATAAAATTATTATAATACTCTCTTTATATTTGATATGATTTTATCAATAATATAGATTTACTTGTTATTAAAGTTTGTTATAAACATGCAAAATCCATTGCATGATGCATTTGCAAAACATATTAAAATCCTTCTAGCAGGAAAACGTCTTTTAGCTCATAAGCATCCAAACGTCCCGTTCTACAGCACCAGGTGTGTCATTCAACACAACTGGGAATGGGAGCCCAAACTGCTATTTTTCATCCCTCAGTGGATGTCAGGGGCTAAAGAAGAGAGGAAAACAAACCAGGAGGTACTGATGCCAGAGTCAACATGTTAAGTTACTGTACAGCGTACTCCCACAAATGACACCACAGCCTATTAAATAAATAAGTAAAAAAAAGGGTGTGAGGCGTACACTTGAGCGTCTTGGGAGGGTAACAACACAGGTACCAAAATATCCATGTGTGTGGGAGGGGGTTGGCTAACAACACTCACGAGTAGTGGTATGATTACTGATGGCACCCTGGATCGCAGGAAAATCTCCCAGAGATTACAATGGACACACACACACGCGGCTCATCCTTGATCTGAAAAGATTTCACACGCTCCTTTAGCAAAGTCCTTAGATGATTTGGCCTCTTGAAAAGAATGCAAGCATCAAGGTCGATATCAGCCAGCACAGCAACAGATGAGATTCACCCGACTCTCATTTGAAGTTCTCTTTTCTCTTTCATTTTCTTTTCTTCTCGTTTCTTTCTGTCTTCTACCACTGGACTACAGCTGAGTTCCACTCCTCGGACACAGTGATTGGTTCAGTCTGGCCTTGCAGGTTCCGGGGCTTTGTCCCCCGAGGCAGGGAGTGCAGCAGCGGGTACTTGGAGCCCTTCCCGCTCCCAGGCCCTCTGTGTGCCCTCTCTGGGCTCCTCGTTCTTTCACCCCAAGCCATCTTGGGGGGAGATGTTTCCAGTCTGCGGAGCTGGGGCAGTTTCACTTTAACATCTCTGGTTAGGGGAGCTGGACGGTGAAAATCCAAATGGAGGACATGGAGACTACGTCGTACCAAGAAAGGGCAAGAGGCTGCGTTCTAGGAGTGTTAACCTACAGCCAGGTGTGACTTCTACATAATTAAACTGGACACTGTACATTATGTCATCTTCCACTAAGACAATGTTCTTGGTTGTGAGAGAGAGACCCTGAAAAGGTGATCACAAGTGAACTAATGACCCTACAAGTTTCAAGCCTCCGTGTGGAACAAGACACAGGCTGTGGCCTTCAAATTTTAGGATTAAGGATAATTTCCCACTGCGGGGGGTGGGGGCGGGACGAGGGAAGCATCTGCTCTCACTGCGGAGTTTCATACTGCGCTCTGCAAGATCGGGTGCACAAACTGGGGGTTCACATAGGAGAACCCCTCAAAATCAGACTGGTCTATGTTAGCGATGACCAGCTGATCTGGTGGTGTTAAGACGGGCTGCCCTCGCGTGAAGAACTTGTCAAAGTTTTCGGCTCCTTTGCCACACTGTGGAGAAGAAAAAGAGGAAAGCTTAGCGCCTGTTATAAAACACGGGGTGCAGCGCTGCGGGGAGGGGGAAGGGGGGACATGGCCCGAGGAGCCTGGGGCTGGTTAGGTAGGAAGGTCTCAGAGGGCCTGCAGGCCTACTGGAGTCAGAAGCCAGGCATAGCAAACACTGGAGTTACTTGGTCGTAAATCTTTGCATACACCCAGAATGCAAACCCCGGGTAGAAATGTTCTCTTGGCACAGGGTGGCAACAAAGGGCAGCCTTTCTTATTTCACTTCCACCTCAACGAGCAAGCCGAGCTATGAGCGTGAAAGCTGCACACGCAAGCTATCAGTCACGGCACCATGATGAAAAGGCCAGGATGTTGGCTGGGGTGCAGGCAGCCACTCCTCAACCGCGAGTGAGGACCCTGCTCTACTGTAGCTGGGTAGCTGGTCCTTCACAAACATCTGTTATGAAGCCAAAGCTGCTTGTCCTTGCCTTCAGCTTGGGCATTCTAGAAACTCCAGACCCTAGACTAATCTCAGCCAGTAGAGGGGAGTGTGGCGGCAAGTGTGGGAGGCCGGCTCCTGGGGCCGGCGGGAATAATCCTAAGAGCTGGCTAGCTGGTGGACAGAGCCATGCGGTGTTCACTTGCTGTGTGGGCTTAGGCTGGGGAGACTGGCACAGGCAGGCCCAGCGAAGCCCGCTGTCTGCCCTGGGCACCATTTTCCTCCAGGGCACCGTGGCACCCTGTGTGGCAGCCCGGGCTGGAGACCCATGTGCCCTTTGGTGGCGGCTGGGAAACACGCAGAGCCGCACAGCGAGGCGGCAAGCAGGGAGGAGTGTCAGCCACCTGGAAGCTCCAGGGCTCATCACTAATAAGGGTGTTTCAACATGCTGCAAAGTACTGTCCTCTATCTAGCGGTGGTTCTGCTGGGGGATGTGAGCTGATTCTGAGCAGACATAAGCTTTAACCCAATCAGCCACTCCTGTATCTTTAATAGAGGGCAGCTCTAGGCAGACCGCGAAGTGGAACCCACTGATGCACTCATCGGTGAGGTGGGGAATCACGCGCCTCCCCCGGCAGGCCATCAGGAAGGCTAAACACGCAGCTTCACAGAGAGCCCAGCACGTGGTCCAAGTACCACACATACTGCTGGCTTCTTATAAGATGAATTTAGTCTTGTGGGGTGCACTTTCTTACTGCCTCCTTCTCTCTCTCTCTCTCTCTCTCTCTCTCTCTCTCTCTGGACAGGGTCTCGCTATATAGATCGGGTTGGCGTTGAACTCAATATGTAGCTCCAGGCTGGCTTGAGCTCACCGTGATCCTCCTGCCTCAGCCTCCCATGTACTTGGATTACAGGCATAGCCCCCCAGGTCTGGCTTATCTCCTTTATTTTCTAAGGTTCTCTAGTTTCATTACAGCTTTCTCATCCTTGGCAAAACAAAAAGCTTGCTCCTGACTACTCGTTGAGGGTAAGGCATGTCCTAAATTCCAAGTACAATCTTCATAAATAATGGCTTTCTTCATTGAGGTCATTTTTATTTTAATAAGCAACAATCCACTCCAATCCCAAGGTGACTTTGTGCTACAGGGACTAGGGGCCTGTGCGGGGGTGGAGGGTGAGGGAGAGCTGCGTGTGGGGACTCTGTCTGAGGGCTCGGTGAGTCGCCGTCGGAGGCTGTGCGGCCGAGCGACCCACTCATCTTGGCCCCACCTCCCCCGATGGATGGCTCAGCAAAGCTTTGCTCTGCAGTTCCGCGGTGATTTCTTTAGGAGAGCACAAAGCACTTCAGAGCGAAGATCAGCAGAAGCAGGCTGCAGTTCCCATCCTCCTCCATGCACACCCCACACTGAACCTCTGAGAAAGGCTCTGTAAGAAGTGCACAGGGCACGCTTCCCAGCCCCCACCCTGCCCCAGGAACTGCTCAGGAGGCTGCGCTTGATTCACTGGTAGACAGACAGCAAACAGAAACCAGCCTGAGCTGGGGCACCACATCCAGCTGTGTGGCGATGGAAACAGTGACAGAAACAGCCCTGCTTTTGCAACAGCAGTGGCTCTCAGCCAGGGAAGAGTTCCCGCAAGGGACTCAGTTTTGATGATCAGGACTTGGGAAGGGGTGCCACTGTCACCTGGCGGAAGAGACCAGAATGCCGCTAACCCTCCTGCAATGCACAGGATAGCTGCTCCTCGACAACAATGTCTTGGCTCAAAATGTCACCAGTGCTGCTGGCGAGAGAATCTGAGACATAGCTATGTGGCTTGTACTGGGGGCTGCATAGGTCCAAGGTGAAGGCAGAGGAGGCGGCCGACAGGGCGGCTGTGGAGAGCTCTGTGTGGGAGGACAGCACGGAGGAGCTGCAGAAGCCCACGGGGCGAGAGGGCGAGCGCGCTGCAGCCTCAGGGGAGCTGGCTCTCAGGACACCCTCGGGACACTGATGCATCACCACGCACTGCCTGCAGGAATTCAAGGGCTCCCGAGGCTGGCAGTGTCTTCCTAACAAGACAGCGTTGGTGCTTCTCTTGTTACTCGCTAACCACACAAAGATGGACAAGGAGGAATTCTGGGAAAAAGCAATAAAAGCATGCGAATCCCTGAAAGGCAAGGCAAGGTGAGCGATGGCAAGATGTTCTCTGGGCCTTGGCTAGACCCGCGCCTGCCTAGCTTCGCCTTTATGGATTTGTTCTGTGAGTGCACTGCACAGGTCTGGTCCTTTCCTTTGAGAATCATCTTTTATACTACTGCATGCACAGATCACCGTCCAGGGGGAAGCTTCCAACAGCCGTGGGTTTATTGCAGAGAAAAATAAGAAGCAAACTAAGAGGCAAGTTCTAAAAGTCTAAAAAGGCTACCCTATAGACATGAACGGCGAGAAGGACGGGGATATGGGCTTGAGGAACCAAACCCCAAGAAGAGCTGTTCCAGGGCTTCCGCTGTGTGAAATCATACATATAGTGAGAAGCAAGAGTCCTCTGGCTGCCGCCTCATGCCCTGGCCAAGCTGACAGCTGCAGAGCGAAGGGGGACTGTGGGCTCAGGATCAGCGCAGTCACTGCTCTGTGACCACACCAAGCGGCGAGGCAGCCGATGTTCTCCCAACTGCGCAGGTGGAGAAACATGGAACAGGGACAGGGCAGAGGCAAAGAGTGAACATGGAATGCCTCAACCTTCAGGTGCGTCCATGGTGGGATGAAAAGGGCCATGAGTGAATCTTAGCAAGCTATAAGGAACAGAGCCCGGATACAGCTGAAGGCTGAGTCTGAAGAATGGGTTGAGGTCACAGACTCAGAAAGACATCTTATTTTGAGGGAGATTACACCAGCAAGGAGTCTCCTACCTCTACAAAGGGATGGGGAGAAATGCTATTTTTACCATATGTTTAGTACTGTGAAAAATACTGCTTATTTTCCTGACATGGAGTATCTTTCAATGCTTTGAAAATGAACCCTTCATACTCTTAAGCAAAGTTAGGCCCAGGAAGAGACAACCTCCTTTGAATTGCTTGTTTTTCAGGATGTTATGCAGAAAATTGCCACAGATCAGCACCCTTTTCAAAGGATCACGGGAGTCAGGGGGCGCTGGGTTCTTGGGAAAAGACAGACAACAGATGTGATGGGTTACTGACTGGCCAATGCTTCTGCCTACCGCCTACGACCCAACCCTACTCGGAACAATCAGCTTAATGGGCACTGGGCCCAGGCGCCATCCTGGAGCAGCGTGGAGAACAAAGAGAGACAAAGATGGAAGGGTGAAGGCAAGGCCCACGGATCTGGGGATGGACGAGTGCCCGAGTGAGAAGTGCAGCCAGCCGGACTGCAGATCCCTCCCGACCCTCCTCAGGTGCAAAGCAGAAAGGCTGGAAGGCAGCCTCCGGGGCAGTCTGCGACTCTGTGGCAGTCCAGGTTGCCCACAGCCTCCAAGCTCTAGGCCACTGGACACACGGAGCATCTAAGGCAACCTGTGGGCAAAACCTGGGCTAGCTGTGCCTGCTTTACCTCAAGGCTACGCGCACCTCTCACCGGCTGAGGCTTCCGCCCCTTGGATGCGATGCCACAGAACTGGTATGGGACAGAAACGGGTCGAAAGCAGGCAGCAGGACACAGCCCACGTCTGGCTGGGCCTAGAGCAGGTCCTCGGGTGTCCTAAGACTGGATGGCGTCTCGCGTTCCCTGGGCAGCACTGGCACCAGATGCAAGCAGGTGGCACAGAAGAGCGAAGGGCCAGGCTAAGACCAGGCTGAGACAGCTGTGAGAGCGCCACCGCCTCTCTCTGCAAAGCCAAATGGGGGCGATCCGCCTCTCTAGGCCTTGTGAAGGGATGTGAGGGAGGCCTTGCTCAGTGATGAGGCCGACAGAGGCACAAGGCACAACACAGGCAGCAGCGTGCAAAGCTAGGCCATCGGGATGTGAGGGCTGCACACCAAGAACCACCTACTTTCTTATGTCGGGACTGAGGAATGAACTCTTTGGTCATGTTGGCACTTGACAAATGCACCAAGTAATAAAGTGAACACAGGAGAATCTGGCATGTTTGTAAGGATGCTGGAAAGTATGGAACGATGTGAACTTGGGGGGAGGCTGGGGCCGCAGTGCTCCCCTCCACAGCAGGCAGCCCACATCCATGCCCACGTCCTGTGAGCGGGGAGGGGGAGACTGAGGTATGCCGCCTCCTGGCGAGAGTCCTCCCTGCTGTGGCCCTGCTGGAACTGAGCAGTGGTTTCGATCCTGCCCCTTAACTTGATGTCCCACGTGCGCAAAATCAAACTTCACAGGCGTGGGCGCACAGATGCTTGAAAAGTATGGCTGTTAGAAAGCGAAACCAAACAAAGCTCAGAAGAGTGGGCAGAGCGCAGAACAAATAAAGCACAAACATGTCATAAAACTATAGAAAGCAAGCACAGGAAGGGGGAATGTCTGCTATGACCCTAGGGCAGCAGTGCGCGCCTCCTCGCAGGGAACCCTTGGGCACCCAGGGGTCCGAGTGCTGTGCTATAGGGTGGGGCACAATTAGAACACCCCCGCTATCTCCGGACAGACTACATACTGCACTCATAGTTAAATAACCCACAGGAGGAGGGGTGGGGGAGCTGTGCCCCCAGATTCCCAGGAGGTGAGGCCCCTACTGTGAAGCCCTGGTGGGGGCTCTGGCCCCTGCTCTGCCCTTTCCATGGAGATCCGCATGCTCAGGGAGGGGTCTCTGCGCAGGACCAGGACAAGCAGGCGCACATGGTTAGAGGTGGAGGGAGGTTATTTGCTTGTTAAGTCACCCACGGTCTGGAAATGTGCTCACCGAAGGCCTGGATGCCCACTGAAGCCAGTGCATTTTGGTACAGAAAGTCTGGAGAACAAGAATGAACAGAGGAGGAGATTTGGAGAACAGTCAGTTTCTGGCCCTGGAATGCCAGCATCAAGGACGGCCGTGTAAAGAACACCGTGAACCCCTTCAGCTGGCATGGCCAAACCTCTGCAGTATACACACCATCACGTGAAGGATGCAGGACACCAACCATGGTGCGGCCTCCCTTACATGTGTGTTCACACGTGCACTGAACTTTCTAGAGGTTACAGAAAAGATCATGAGTAGTGGGGTCAGTAGCTGGGGAGGGAGGGATGCCCGTCCTTTATGCCCTTTTCTACTGCTTGGCGTTTATCTCACTGCAGAGAGGTAGTGTGGAATAATAATAATAGTTCTCAAGGGTGGGACCTTGCCCACTTCCCACAGCATCACCAGTGCTGAGGTTGCAATGGGCTGTTGTTTCCTAGACAAAATTAAACAGTACCCACCTTAGAGCCTGAAGGGCCCAGTGCTATTCAGAGAGGTGGGCTTTACTTCTGCGTGACCCAGGCTGTCAGCCCCATTTCAGGAGTGTGTTCTCACAGCATACAGACAAGCCACGCATGAACACGGGCAACGCTTCTGACTCTCTTGGGCTCTGGCCTGTGCAGCACCAGTGTGCACTCTGCTCGGCCTTCCTTTATATGAACGGCCCACTTCATGGGACTCAGGGCTCCTTTGCCAAGACAGTGCAATGCCCATCACGGTCGGGGCCCTACACTGCCGACCAGGGAGCTTGTCAGTCACTGCCAACAGCCTGAGTCAGACAGGGCTGCATTTATGCCCTCCTGCACCTCTGCAGCTCCCCGGCTTGCAACAGCGCTACTTATTTCTATTGATTCTCATTGTAAGTGCTTCATTTCTTCTGAGCACAAAAGTATTGTGGAAAATAATGAGCAAAGAACAGGAAAAACTGCTTGTCACGAATTAACCAAGTAAGAAATGCTACTTGGGCCTGATGTAATGGCTTACGGCAGACCTGCACACATCTTGATGTGATTTCCTCCGTCTCAGGGCTGCCTGGGGTTTCTGTGTGGTCAGCACTGCGCCAGAATCTTGACACTCTCGGTTCTAATTAGCATCACCATTACTGGCTCACAGAAGGCCTGAAAGAGTGAGCCTGCCTGTCACTCGAGAGGGCTGCTTAATGCGCCCAGTGCTGCCCCACTTAGCCCTCCCGCAGGCCCCCACTTCCACCTGGGCAGCTGCTGCTCCGTACAAATGACTCGGCAGAGAAACTGCTCTGAGAGCTGCACGGGAGCTGTGCTCATGTTTGGAAAACACACATGGAATTATTTAGGTGTCGAGAGGCACAGCACCTCAGAAAAGTATGTGTGCGTGCAAGTGTGTGTGTGCATGTGTGTGTGCACACAGACACACAGAATCAGAGAATGCAAAAAGAATGAAGGCCAGCAAACAGTGAAATGCTAACATTTGGGGAATCTGGGTAGAGGGGATGCAGAAACGCTTTGTACTAGCTTTGCAATTCTTTTGCAAGTCTGAAACTAGAAATCGCACAGTAGTTTTTAAAACATAAAGAGGACCATGGTGCCAACCTGGAAGATGACATCACGGCCACTCTCTAACCAAGCTGCCGTCACTGCTGCCAACTGCGCCTTCTCCCCGCGGCGGTGCCAGCGCGGTCCTCAGCGGCTACTCTCCTTGGCTCTCGCTGCAAGGATGCCCACATCTAGATGAAAGTTATTCTATATCTTCCTCTTTCCTTTTGGTGAAATAACCACAGTACTTTCCTGAGAAAGGCCGCCTCTGAAAGACAGGCCTGTCCCTCCGAGTGCCCCATCCACCTGCCGATGCTGGCATACTGCTTTGTGTCAACTTTATAATTCCTCTCTCTAATGATTAGGAAAGGACAGTGGCTGTTTCTAGCTTGCCTGTGAGCCTGTCATTCTGCTCCTCGATGCCAACACATAAGATTTTTTAGAAAGGAAAATCATCTAACTTTATATTTCTGGTGTTTATATAAGCTGCTGCTCCTACTGGGGAGGATGAAGGGATGTGTACAGGCTTCGCTTGGCCAATAAGCAATCAGGGCAACACCTGCAGGAGCCCGAGGGACCTGGACCAGAACCTTGCAAGCAGCATTCACTTCTCAGGCAGAGCAGAGGGGGCGGTCCTCCTGCCCTCAGCCATCAGCACCCTCCTGCTGCAGGAGCCGTGGGAGGCAGGTGGTCATGTCACGTCTCCCTTGGTAGCCCGAGTTAAGCCTTTTCAGAAATATTATATTTTAAAAACATAAAATATCTTCTTACATGGATGGGCCTCTTGTTGGTGGTTCAGGTTTCCTGCCGGGATTGCCCAACAAGTCTGAGCTGCCACTACCCACCCTTGGGGCAGAGCCCTTTAGGTTGGGTTCCTCTGCGGTCTCTGAGCCCTGCCTGGGCTGCACTTCTTTCACAAAGAGGAGACAGTCATGTGGCTGCTCCTCCTTCAGGACGGCTTGGCACAGCTGTCTGCTTTTGTCTTTGCTCTTATACAAAATAAACCAGCACAGGAAAGGCTCTACCCTGTCACATTTGCATGCTGTCGTCTAGAAAATCACATCTTCACAATGGTGCACAGTGGCCTTCAGGGGACAGACACGGCTCAGTCATTCCTAGCTACTGCACTGGAAGAATGTTCCTTTGTGGTCAGCACTGCCCGCTGCCTGGGTTCACCACAGCACCTCTGCAGCTCTGATGAGGGACATGTCCTGTGTCCTGAATGTCCTCTTCAATTGCCTGGACTGTTCTTGGCCTGGTAGTTTTAATTTTATGTATTTGGTACAGGGTCTCACCACACAGCTCAGACTCATAGTAGGAGGCTTTTTTCAGCCTCCCCAGGACTGAGATTACAGGCATGTGCCACCGTGCCCAGTCTTGGTGGCCAGCTCAGTGTGCCTGGGGGTGGGGCCAGCGCAGCATGTGGCACCAGGGATCAAACCCCGAGCCCTGTGCTTACCTAAGCAGGTGCTTACTCACTGGCCCCTGGCCTGTGGTTTTGCTCCAGCATGATGCCCTCTCGTGAAATGGCCCATACCTGGGGCTAGAGCAGGCTCCGCTGCGGAGCACACTGCATGAAGGAGGACCAGGCAGAGCTGGGCTCGAGGCGGCTCCCTGCTGCCTTTGCACTTCCCTCATGGCCCCTGACGCTCTTCCGCCTCACTTCTGCCCTCCTTCGCCACGTGTCTGCCCTGCGGCCCCAGCTCTGGCCGGGGTTCGGTTCGGCCTGGCTTCCTCGTCTGTGCTCTGGGTCTCTGGCAGGAGGAGCTCACTGCTCCTGGATGAATCGCTCCCTCCCTGTGCCCCGAGCTCTCCCAGGTCCAGGGCCTCGGTTTTCAACTGCTGCTTCTGTTTCTGTCTGAGGGCTGTTTCTTTACTTTCTAGTAGCTGGTTTTTTTGTTTGTTTGTTTGTTTTTGGCAGAACCGGGGATTGAACTCAGACCCCTGCGCTTGCCAGGGAAGCACTTATTCCACTGAGCCATCTCCCTGGCCCCATCTTGCCTGGGGAGGATTTTTCTTTTTTTACAACCAATGCCAATTTGTTCTTCTTTTTTTTCAATTTTAACCAGCACTCACTTTAAAACAAAACCGAAACCAAAAAACAAACAAGTAAATGGCACCCCAGGTGATATAGATGTGCACACTGCTCGAGCCTCAGCTGTCTGCCCTAGTGCTTCCTGTGGTCCACGGGCAGCAGCCCACAGTTCTGGCTGCCTGAGCTAAGCCACCTTTGGTTTTGCCTACATAGGAATTTGGGGCCAAGTGTCCATCTGGGAAAAGCAGGAAACTCTGAGAATAACAGTTACTTCTGAAATCAAGGTGAGAAGAAATAGAAAAACAGGCAGTGCTTTTATGGTCTGGAAAGTGACAGACGAGTGACTGTATTTTGCTCAACCCTTAAGGCAGGGGCAGTGCGTCTCTGTGCTGTTCCTGCACAGCAGCAAGCTGTGTGTGGGGTAGTGCTGCCTGCCTTCCACATTTAATTCAAGAAGACAAACAGGTACAGAAGGCAGAGGGGAACAAAGGAAACCCTGCAGGAATTTTCTGCTGAGACCTCCGCAACACCCTTTCTCTCTCCCCAAGTCTGCAAACTAGATTTTGCGCCCTGAGGAAGGTCTGTTCCAAGGTCCAAGGAGGCTATGGGGCAGGGATTAGGGGTGGAGGGAGTGTGGGCGGGAGACACGAGGAAGGATGCTTCAGGAGGAAGTCAGTGGACCTGATTAATCTTAGTTTGTCTTCAGCCCACGCTAAAAATGTCTTAGGAAAATAAAGTCAAGTGGGCTCAGCACCACAGTTTTATTCTTGGACCTGAGACACAGGTACTTTGGATGAGGAAACTGCTGCTCCAAGAACGAGGCTGTGTGCTACCCGGGCAGTAGCCCTGCCACCCAGGGGTACCCTGTGGCCTGCTTATGATGGGGCAGCCATCAGGGACAGATTTGGGCAGGGCCAGCAGGGCAGCTGCTTCTGACACTGACCATGGATGAAGCAGCTCTCCCTGTGTCCCTGAGCAGAAGGCAGCAGCCCGGTACTGGCCAAGACAGGGTGGCCGAAAGGCGTGAACCCTGCGGCCTTAGAAACAAAGGACAGGGACACACAGTGCCCTGGGCACTGCAGAGGGACAGGCGGGATGCGTGAGGAGGGCGGCTTCCTGAAGACACTCCACTTGCCTCGACAGATACATTAAGAAAGGTGTACACTGGTTGCGGTCAACTATGAGACCCAGCTGGGGGGCTGCCGCTGGGCAGATGGTGCAGTGGGGAAGGACACAGCTCTGTCCTGGCTCCACAACTCCACAGCGGTGTGTCCTCCCCTCTCTGCACCTCTGTTCTCTCAACTGCAACCTGGGCACAGTAACACCCCTCTCACGGGGTACAGCACGGATAACAGGGCCTGCCATGTAGCGTTTGTCACATAGAAGAAATGGGAATCCCACAGGAGAATCTGAATCAACGGGCAGCGTGCAGACTGGCAGTTGCCACGTGCCCTTGTCGTGGACACAGCTGCTATGCGGGAGCTGGCCCGGCCTGCCAGTGCCCTGGGGAAGAGGGCTGCCTGCTTCAGGGCCCCATCAGGGCCCCATGAGGGGAGTCAGAGACACTGTGAGGCCCAGTGTGCCGGGAACCTGGGTGGCTGGGCAGGGGGTGGGTGTCACCGGAGTCTGTGCTGTCCTGTCCTGGCTTGCTCATGGTCTGAGGCTCTGCAGTTACCCTGTCAAAGGACTGCAAGGCTGCCGGTCCTCTGTCTTTATTCTCAAAGCCAACAAGCTTCCTGGCTGAGTAGACTCTGGGACTCCATTTTCCTCAGCCCACCAAAGCCAGTGGTTACTGACAGAAAGGGTGGGGAGGCTGTAACCAGAACCAGGGAAACCCAGGCTGCAGGCTGCTCCTCTGGACTCACCACTTTGGGCTTGAATGGCGGTTGGATCTCCCTGTTCTCCAGCTTCTCCCAGTCGATCCTCCGGAAGAAGGCATGCTCTCTCACATCTCGCTCTCCCTCAGGCCCGCAGCCCAACCGCTTGGCTGGGTGTTTGGTCATCAGCTAGAGAATGAGGAGGAGGAGGACAGGTTGGACTTAGCAGATTCCCAGAGGCAGCACCTTTCCTTGGCCAGGCTCTGCCTCCAGCCCTGGTGGGGAGGCGCCCAGACATTGTTAGGAAACTTACCAAGAAACCCCCCAATACGACACGCCAAGGGTGACTTTCCACAGGGCTGCCATGATAAGGACAATGGAAAGCACTCTGAACCCTTCCTTACATGTTTCAGATCTGCTATTTCTGCGTGTGTGCCTGGTATAAAGTACTATGATCACTACAAATCGTGTGTTCTGAAAGTATGGGCGGCCAGGGCCACGCAGGACACCGTAACGAGCTTCACAACATACTTATTGTCTTGACCAAATTTTACAAGTCAACACCTCCTGGGGTGCAAAACCACATGCTGCAACAAGGAAGGCAGCCAGTGCACCCCAAGCTGCTAGTGCAGGGAGGCAGCCGTGGCCCGGGAGCTCTTCAGGGGCAGGATCCAGCTCCCCTGGCCTTTGGAAGCCAGCTAGGTGCTCTGCAAACAACTGAACCACCCAGAAAATGTCAAGAAGGGTGTTGTGTTCCAGGTCACTTAGCCTGCAAAGAATTTTGTGACCTAAAACTTACCATTAAACACTAGCCAAGTCAGAACCAGAAATTTTATTACTGGGTCAGTGAGATAGCTCAGCGGTCTAAAGCACCTGCTTAGGCAAGCTTAGGTAAGCGTGCAGGGACCATGATTTAATCCTAGGTACCACATGCCACTCCAGCCCCGCCCCCAGGGCAGGCTGAGATGGCCACAAAAAAAAAAAAAAAAAGGAATTCGATTCCAAGGCATTTTCTTGAAGAAAAGGAATGTGTTGCTGTGTTCACCAAAACACAGGACTCAGAAGGTTCCTGGGAGTTCTATTTGCAACAGCCTCAAGCCCAAGTGGAAACAAATGCAGTATCTGCCAGGAATGGGATGGGTAGATAGCCTGCAGCACCTCTGTGCCTGTTTCTGTAGGGACAGCACATGTCACACAGAAGCCACCGAAGTCTAGGGGCAGCGAAGGTGAGCGCTCCCTTTCCAAGGGGCCTCTGAGCCCCGCTGGCAACCTCACTACAGTTCTATGAAATAGACTAGGAAGAGCAGGGCAGCACAATGGGGCCTGGGGAGGGGCCTGGGAAATACTGTGTGTGAGTCCAGGCCTGGCCTTCGTTGGCCCCACTGCACCCCATGTGTCACCCAGCTCTAGCTCTCTGAGGCCAAAGAGTAATTGGCGCCACACAATGGCGGTAGTGCTAGTCTGAGAAGTGTGGAAAAGGTGCTGTCCCTCTCAGCCGTCGATCACAGAAAGAACCTCGGTGGACTTACTCCTTTGCAGATGGAAACGGCCTCCTTGGACAAGGACTTGGGGTAGGAAACGTTGTGCTCCATTATGGACTGGAACAGCTCGTCTTCATCTTCACCATCAAACGGAGGCTGGCCCAGCAAAGAGACAGACAGGGAAGCACTTAGACGTGGTTCACTGACAGGAGGCCGCAGCTCCAATCCAGCATGGAGAAACCCATCTGGTTTCCCAGCACAGCCCAGGTAGCGGCACTAGCTTGGTTAACTTGGGGTTTAATTTGATTATCTTTAATTAGGCTCGTGGTTGTGTTTTTCATTTTTAAGTCTGTCCCTTTAATTATCTTGCCTTGAGCCACCCAAAACAGTCTTTAGAGAAAATGTTTTTGAGTAATGTTTTTAATGATTTACAAATACATTGTAATTAATCCATTAATCTTATAATCATGTACAAAAAATCTAATTACGATGAAGTCAGATTACAGATGGCTTTGTGTTCAGAAGGTTGGGGGTGGGGAGAGAATGCTCAATGCCTTTACTTGGGATGAAGAGACCCTCAGAACTCAGGCAAAGCAGGTGACCTTGGGCCCAGGGACCTGCACTGTGACGTCTGACCCCATGGAGAGCTGCTCCAGGGTCAGCAGTGATGGAAACTGAGCTTCTTGGACCTGTCCTCCAACTTGTCTTCCGGGTAACCACCCTATGGAGGTCCATCACAAACAACATGGGCCTGAGGCCAGGTGCATCCAGACCAGAATTCTGGCTGTTTTTCCTAGCTGGCAGTCCACTGGAAAGGGGCTTGGCTTTTCATTGCACCCCTTTCCATAATGTTTTCAGGGATTTGATTGCGCTGGTGTTTCCAAGGAGGGGAGCCTCCAGGGAAGCGCTCGAGACCCAGCCAGCAGCCAAGCCCGAGTCCAGGACGCCCTGCAAACCTGTGCTCCCACATGTCTTTCATACCAAGGGCACTGATGACCTGTCCTGCTGAAGGGATGCACACAGGACAAAGGGGATTGTGGGAAACTCCTTAATCCCCTTTAGTGTAGCTAACTTTAGCTTAGCATAAAGAAGGCACATTAGGAGTATCCCTGTGTAGAGTCAGACCAACAGCTGGGTGAGGGGGTCATGGATGGGCATCCCAGGCCCAGAGGGAAGATGTCACACCTGCAAAGACCCCTCCCTGCCCTGGTGGAAGCATGTAGGAGGATGAGGAGAGCTAATGGGGGCAGCCTGCTAGTGTGTTGCATGGTGCCTTGTCACAGGGGCCCCCTTGGCAGGTCAGCAGGGTGGTGCTGGCTGCAGAGGGCCAGCTGGGTGAGCAGCAGGCTGTGCAACCTCTGTCATCAGGGGGCAAAACAGGACAGGCCTGGGAAGGGGCAGGGCCGGACCTGGCCAAGAGCTGCTGGGGTGCCCATGCTCCTGTCCCTGCCACCATGGCTTCTCAGCCGATCTTGCCCTGGGCTTCTCCTCAAAACCTCTCCTTGACACCCATACAGTATCTTCTCTTCCATGACAGAGAACCCAGAAGTGGCCAGATTTTGGTTCAGGAGACTTGCAAAACTAGAAGGAACACGGTCTGGGCTCTGCCTTGGGCTGGGAGTGGCACCCCTGGCAAGCACCAAGCATTCCTTGTGTGCATGGAGTGCTCAGAGCACGCGCAGCATCCCCAAGGTAAGAGCAGGGCAGCTCGTGCCTCCCACCTGTCGTTCCACATCTTGCACTTGGGCCCTAGGAGTTCTGGCTAGGATCAGCTACATAATTCGCAGGTCTTAGATCCTTTATTAAAAATATTAAGAATTTTGGGCTGGGGAGATAGATTGGTGGTCTAAGCTCCTGCCTGGCAAGTGCAAGGACCTGGGTTCAATCCCTTGTACTGCATGCCATGCTGGCCACCAAAACTGGGTGTGGTGGCACATGCCTATAATCACAGCATTGGGGAGGCTGAGACAGGAGGATCACTATGAATCTGAGCTGTGTAGTGAGACCCTTCATCAAAAAAATATATTTTAAAAAATATTAAGAATTTCAAGATGGTGGCTAGGGGTATAGCTCAGCAGTGTAAGCACCTGCCTGCCAAGTACAAGGTCTCAAGTTCAATCCCCTGTACCAGAAAAAGAATGTCAGGACGGTGAGCACACCAATGAAGCAATCATGCAGCTGCTCCGAGCTCCGGCCTGCTCGGCGTTGTGCACCCAGGAAGCTGGTGACTGTCATGTATTTACTGAGTGGTGACAAAGGCATCCTTTGCAGATGCTCAAATACAAGCAGCAGGAAGGGGTCTCAGACAATTCCGGTCAAAGTTCTAAGAGAAACTGTCCCCCCAAATGCTCAGGGGACCTTGTAGAGGAAGTCTCCCCGCCTGAAGATGACCAGGTCAAGGGCCCCTGACCCTTCCTCCCCTGTAATAACTGAAGACATGGGGGACGCTGCCGATGTTGGTGGTGGGGGTGGTTGCCTTGGTATAACTCATGTGCCGCACAACGTTAGTGGAGAGTGCTACAAGTCACAAGGGACAGCTAGGGGCCCAAGGTGTCCCAAGTCACAGTGTGGACAGGGTCTGGGCTCGAGTGGATCGGTCAGCTTCCCTCCCATCTGCAGGTCAGATGCTTCTGGAGGAACCTGCCTGGCTGAAGGCGACAATCAGAGAAGGCAGATGAGGGCTGGACGTGAGTGACACAAGGCTCAGGAGGAGGCCGGCTCCTCTCCCGGGCCCAGCAGCCGTCATAATCAAATGCACACTTTTTCCTACTCTGTTTCCTTGGTTGCAAAGATCAAATTTTTTTACTGTAATAAAATACATATAACATAAAGTTTGCCATCTTGGTGACTGGCGAAGCTCTGTGGTGAACACTGGCCCCGCATGCACAGGGCTGGGGTCCACTCCAGGACGCCCCGCCCCGCCCATAATCCTACCCATTCAGGTGCACAGCCCCAAGCCGTCACCACCCCCCATCTCCAGGTCACTGCACCTTTCCAACTGAAACTGCACCCAGGAAACACAAATTCCTCCCTGCCCCTCGCCACTCCCCTTCTGTTTTGTGTGTATGGATCTGAGTACTCTTAAGCGCAGAACCTCATACGGGAGGGATCATAAGTGTGTGTCTTTTGTGACTGGCTCGCTTCACAACGTCGTAACTGTACCTTCAGGTACCAGGGAGGCCACGCCCGGCCCTGCTATGCTAACAAGCAATGCAGAGCATCTCCAAAGGCCACTTCCTTCTTGCTCATGCTACCTGTCTGCTGGGGGCTTTAGAGAGCTCTGCCCACGGTGGCCCGAGCAGGGGGCCCCACGCTGATGGCACAGGCGCCATCACAGTCTACTCAGCAGAGAGGAACAGAGGTCGGGTGCCTGCACCGGCACTAATGACCCTAACGTTCAGAAAAGCTCCCGAGTCCTACTTTAGGTTGAAATGATGTAATACTGCGGGGAAGGAGTCCATGAAACCCACATCCACGTTCTTTTCACCTAAACACAAAATTATTCTCATTTTAAAGTGGATTTGCAGACGTTCTTACATCAGTTTTTAAATATGATGCACAGCTTGGAGACCTTTATTTTTCACTGTTGCAAACTCATTTTTTCTGTCCTTCCTGTGCTCCTCCTCTGAGGGGACTGACGCAGAGGTCAGCAGCATCATGGGCTGACTCGTGTCCACGGGCACATTTACAATTGCCTTCGGCGCTGTATTCTAATAACTAACGCTGCTCTAACGTCTCAGAATTACTTCCTAAGAATAATGTCCCAGGTGTGGGATTATGGTCAGAGGAAGAGAACACGCTGATGCTCTCGCTAAATCTCTCCAGGCCGTCCCCGGAAGCCTTCCCACAGGTAATTACTCCCTCTCTGGCCTGGTGTTGGAGGCAGGTCGGTGGCGACAGGTTACAGTTACGTTCATTTTCACTGCCTGTTGTGACAGCTACTTCACTGGGCAACACTGAGGGAAGGCGTGTTGCCTCGGCGCGGAGTACACGGCCACTTTGGACTGCTTCTCTCCCTACTTGCCCCATTTCCAAAGTTATTTTCTTCATTTCCACAAAGCTGGACGCAGTGTGCCAAGCTGAGGAACCTATTAACAAGTCCTGGGTTGGTGGAGAATTTTCCTCAATGGGCTGCATCTTTCATTCCACCTTAGCACTGTGTCATTTGTGAATTTTAAACAGGCAGTGGAGCAGTGATGGTTCACGTTGTACAAAATGATTCCTAAATCATTTCTTAATAAGCGATGCTTCGCCCTTGCCACACTGATTTGCAGAGCAGCGGCCCTGGGCTGGGGCTGGGAGAGCACCCACACACCATCCAGGCTGCAGATCCAATCACGGAGATAAAGTGCCAGTTACTGATTCGTTGGGAATGAAGACAGAACACAAATAACCCCGGCAGCGAAGGACACAGAGGAGGCCGGTGTGTTCTAATGAATGCTGTGAACACTTGGAACAGCAATACGCCCATTAGAGGGCTGGGCAAGGACTAGCTACGCCCCCAAAGCAATCGCGGTTGTCAAGAGGTGCAGGGACTGAATTAAGACTCGGCCTGTTTATACTTACCTGCCCCCTTGGCTGCCGACAATAAATAATGCAAGAATGGCGTTAAGAAGAAGAACATGGCATTAAGAGAAGAAAACAGCAATAAACTGTTTTTTTCTCCTTAGCTTCAGCCCTGTGTTCAGGATACAAATCCAGGCCACAACCCCACCAGCGACCTCATCATTACTTGTACTTTTCCGTAATGCCTCTAGGCCTTTTGCTGGGTCTCTGCAGATCCTGTGGCTTTGAGAGGCCCTGAGTAGCAGCCCTCAAATCTCTGCCATCCTTTCTGGGATGAGACTCATTTAAACTTGCACTGAGGAGTGAGAGCAAAAGAGAAGGCGCTCTGCATGGTGCAACCCTGCGCTGTGGGTGAGGACTTGAACGGACGCAGGCTGCATCCTGTGCTCACCATCGCTGGCCGGCGTGCAGGGAAGTCACCATTTCAACAGGGCTGATGAAGCTCGCCAGGCTGCATAGAGGGCAGCCCAGTGGGTGGGCCAAGAAGCAGACCGGAAGGATCAGAGCTGTGCTGTGGGGCTGCTGGGTGTGGAGAGCGGGAGCCCAGGCTCTGCAGGGGCCCAGGCAGATTACAGCATCTTCTCTGTAGGCTGAACACCCATCGTGGCAAGGGCCCTGGAGATCCTAGGCAGGCAGGCCTGGGCAGGGGCCTCCTTTCCAGAGCGTGCAGCCTGAGATTTCCCTAGGGCAATGCAGCCCCAGGAAGAAAGGGTGAGGGGAGAGGAGAGGAAGCTGGGCCGGAGGAGGAGGGAGAGCCTCTTCCAGGCTGGTTTCTGCATCGCTAGCCTCCCACTGGCCAAGAGAGAAGCAGCTCCCTCACCAGCCGTAAAGCACACTTGCAAGCGGAGGCTGCTTTCCTGGCCAGCAGCGTCAGGGCCTGGCTTCTGCAAACGTGGCTTAATGAAAGCAGAGGTTGCTTCCTGGGCCCGGGAGGTGAGCGCCCGTGGGATCAAGAAGGGGAACTCGGTTCCTTGGGCCTTCAAAGGGATTAGCACCCAGGGGTCTGGGGATCCAGGGTCAAAGTTTTAAGAGGGGAAATTAACTTCAGGGTAGAAACCTATGTCTCTCTTGTGTTGTCGTACAGACAGCAGCTGGTGTGTAACCTGTTTTTGTCTGTGCACACTGAGGTATCTGAGCTAAGAAGAATCCTTTGAAAAAACCTAAACAAGGCTGGGGAGAGAGCTCAGCGGCATAAGCACCTGCCTGGCAAGCGTAAGGTCCTGAGTGTGATCCTCGGTACCAAAATAAAATAACATGAAAGAAAATACAGTACAATAAAATAAAAAACCCTAAACAAATACACAAACCTCAGAGGTCAATCAAGTTTTAGTATCACTGAAATGCTTTGTTTCTCTGAAAATAAGGAGGGGAAGAGGGGCTGAAGGGAGGGGAGGGGAATGGGGAAAAAAGAGCTAATAGGAAACAGCTAGGTCCTTTGCAAACGGGAAGGGGTCTACACTGAGGTGAAAGGGGGAGTAGGAAGCATGGGGCTGTGTCACAGCCACGCCCAACTCCCCCAGCAAGTGCCACCATTACGTGCAGTGAACGTGTACTAATAAAAAATTTTAAATTAAAAATCACTGAAAAATGATGACTAGATGTAGGCCAGTACTTTAATCTTTTACTATCTAAAATGATATACTAGCGTTGAAGAGAGACAAAATATGACAGAGCTACAGGAGGAGCCATGAGTAGCTTCCCATCTGAATGAAAGCTGATGGCCCTGCCATGACCTTGGGGCTCGCATCACCTACGGATTTATTCCGGGGCACCTCAGCGCACTCCAGACAGTGCACTGTGCCGGGGCCACCCTGCCGGCTCCCCCTGACTTCTACAGCACGGCCACACTCTCCCTCTGGGCTCTGTCCCCGTGGCACCCTCTGCCTGGCCCGCTCCTCCTCCGGCCGTGCAGGCCCACTCATTCCCTCGTTTCCCTTGGTGTTAACTGAATCTTCATGTAAGGCCCATCTGGGCCATCACAGCTGAGATTCCAGCCCTCCCCTGCCACAGTGTCTTCTCTCTGCCTTGCTAGCTTCACTACTGTGCCACGCTTCTAGCCACCTACTGGCTCCCTGCTGAGGGCTGTGGGCCTCGTGTGGGCCGGTGCTCCGCTTGCTCCCTGTCGTCAGCACGTGCACAGGACGCTAGACTGAGCTGACGGATGCAGCAGGTAGGAAAGAGCGGCCTCTCCCCTCTAGAAACAGAACAGACTTTTTTGTGGTCTCTCTCCCTGTCTGTCTCTCACTGTCTGTCTGTGTCAGTCTCTGTCTCTGTCTGTCTGTCTGTCTGTCTGTCTGTCTGTCTGTCTGTCTGTCTGTCTGTCTCTCACTCCCTCCCTCACCATTCTGGAGATGGAATCCAGGGCTTGAGCGTTCCCCTGACCAACATCCACAGCCTCTTCTCCCTTCCCAGTGCTGGGGATCGAACCCAGGCTCACACACACTAGGCAGACACTTCCCTGCCAGCTGACAGTGGGGAGAGCGCTGCTGTTTCGCACCAATGTTTCTATCCGTTCTTTCTTAGTAGGCCCTTGCCTAGGAGGGCAGAGTCTTTAGTACTAGTACTTGAGTTCTGGGAATTACAAGAGCCGATCACAACGATCTATGTATAAAGAGAGCTGTCCGATGACAGATATTAAAGCCACTATATGAGAAAGTATAGCCTCAGGAAAGAATGCACTTGGTTCTCTGGTGAGAAAATTACCCGCAAGTTCAGCCTTGCTGGACTTTGTTGAAAATTACAGTGAATTATCAAGGTCGAGATAGGAGGGGATGGCGAGGAGCTATGAAAATGCTTCCTTAGTACTAGCACCTCGGTAGACATGGGAGGCTTCTGGGGCAATCTTTGCAGACAAACTTGGGGGAGCCACGGCCACGCCCAGCCCTGTGACACTGAAAACATGCTGAAGCTCTTGCCAGCACCAGCATGCGGGGCCTCTGAGTAGCCCGCCAGGCTGCACTGCTCACACCCTGGGCTACAACCTTCCCCTCGGCATTGGCATGACCTGAGGCACTAGCCCACACACCTGTGCTGGATACACCCCACGCTCACAGGGAATTTCTTCCACTTTTCCCTCAGCTCTGGCCAATGGCACCGTGAGCTCCTGCTGTCACTGCCCAACAGCAGCATGCAAATGTGAAAGGTAGTGAGACGTTACCTGTCCAGCTAGCATCTCATACAGCAGGACGCCGTAGGCCCACCAGTCCACAGACTTTCCGTACGGCTGGTAAGCAATTATCTGCATTAAACAAAACAAAACAAAACATTGATTATACTTAGTGGTGAATCAAGTAGATACATGAACACTCAATACAAACGTGGTGGTAAAAAGATTTATCTCTGAGTTCTACTGAAGAAAGAAGGCCAGTCAAAGCTGTAAAACAGAACTGATGCCCATGCCCAAGTCCTGCTTCTAGACTTTTCTCCTACATCGACTTGAGATTCCACAGCACTGTCTGAAGAAAGACTAAATTGTCTTCCTTGTTGAGAAAGACTTGGACACTGAGGGACAAAACAAAACAAAACAAGACAAGACAATCCCAAAAAACATTAGAGGTCGTTAGGAGGTCAGGTCTGATAATAAAGTGATTCAGGCTTTAGGACTGAGTTCTGCTAAGAGTGACAAGGATGACGATGTAGGAGAACATGAAGAAGACAAAGATGAGGGATGAGGGGAGAAGGAGGGGGAAAGGAGAAGAAAGCGAAGAGGAGGAGGAATGACTGAAGTCTAAATTCTATTTTGTTGCGTTGCATATAGAGATACAACCGTGTCCATCAAGTCTGTTGAATAACTCAAGTTTTAAAATATTTTGAGAGGTATACAGTGCAATATCTTGGCCTTGTTTGATTCAAAACAGCAAACATTCTTGAGGCAATTGGGACAAACTCAGATACAGTGTACATAGTAGCTGATCTATTGAGGAACTTGTTAATTTTGTTTAGGTGACATGACAGTGTTAGTGACTAGTACTAGTGACTAGTTAAAATGTCCTTTTCAATTAGAGATGCATGATTTTTTTTTTTTTTTTTTTTACCAGGGATTGAACTCAGGCCCTTTCGCTTGCCAGGGAAGCGCTAATTCCACTGAGCCATCTCCCTGGCCCAAGATGCATGAATTTTTGGGTGAAATGTATGAGAGAGTGTATTTTTGGGTGGGATGACATAGTCTTCAATTTTTCATATATTTCAGTAAAAGAGGTGAGTATGTGTGTGGGAGAGTAGCAGATATCATGAGTTGGCAAAATGCAGATAGCTCTCGAAGCTGGGAGACGGCTCCTGGGGGAGCTCGCTCTCTATTTCCTTTACCTCTGTGACTCTCAGAATCAGCAGTCACTCTCCAGCCTTTCCATGTGCAGAGAGTGAGACTGATTTGAATTGCAAAGTGTGGCACTGCTTTTTAGGAGTCTGTCTTCCTGCCTCGCGGACAGGCTGTGTATCTAATGCACAGAATCCAGACGCAGGTACAGAGCCCCAGGACTTGGGGTGAAGCTGAACTAACAGGTAAGCAGCATAACCACGCTGCCCTTAACATGATTTTGACTTTGAAATGTTCTATTTTTTAATGGTCCAGAATGTCTATGTAAATGTTCTCAGACAGAAGAAAACTTTCTGCATATCTGCTCAGCCCATTTCCTCAATGGATCATGAATATTCTCCCATCTAGAATGGGGACTGCAAGCCCCGACAGTTTTCCTGTGGGTGGGCACCACCAGGAGGCACACATGCTCAGATCTGGCAGTTCTGTAGCTCATTTCCCTAACGAGGAAACCACTACTCCCGGAAACTACAAGGGATCCTTAATTTCTTTTGCTACATTTGTTCTTTTCTGAAAACTCAAAAAATAGATGTGCACACAACTCACCAAAATTAGTCTTCAATCTGTTACTTGGGGATGATACACATCACTCTAGTTGTCAGACAAGAAATTATTGAATCAAAGGAGCTACATATTTTTAAACCTGTGGTACAATGGCAGACTCTCCTCCCAAGATGGTCAAGCTGGATTTATGTCACTACTTGATGTCAGCTTCATATGCTTCAATACTATGTAATTTTTTTTTGTGCATTTGTTACAGGGTCTACAGGGACTACAGGGTCTTATCATGCAGATTGGACTCATAGTGTTCCTCCCATTTTCATCCTCCCAAGCGCTGGGATTACAGGTGTGCACCACCATTCCCAGTCTAATACTAGGTAAATTTTTAAAAATATTATTATTAGTTATTTTAAATTCCACAACCTACCAAGCCTTATTAAAGAGATTAAAAGGGGGCAGGATAAACAAAAACCGAAGTAAATCTGCTTATAGTCTTACCACTTAGAAACAGTAATATTGGCATATAAATGCTTTATATCTTTTTTCTAAGTGCAGCACATGTACATACATACCTTTTAAAAACTTATATTATTCCAACTTACTGCTCTGTGGTCATGATGTTTATTTAATAACAGTTCCTGAGGACCCCTACAAAACCTTTGCCTTAGCTCCAGAAGATACATTCTTACAAGTAGAATTCTTGGGTCAACGTAATTGTTTTGACTCTAGAACCTCTAGAAGATACCACCAGATCCCTGAAGAGCGGCAGCGCACGTGCCCTCGCCCCGTGCCGAGGGCGCCCACACCGTCCAACCCAGCCTCACGCACACTGGGCATCTCCACGCTTTCCCACACGTGCCAGCTGGACGACTGAAATTGGGATTTTGATGATCTTTTTTACTTGCCTTTTATTCACATTTTCTCATGGGAATTAGTTATCATAATTTTTGCCCAATTTTCTATCATCTTTTCCTTCTTTCAGAGAATATGAGGTGCTGAGGGTATAATGGAGTCAAAAAAGGTCTCCATCCTCATCATGATTGTGTAGATACTTGCTTTTTTTAAAAAAAAAACTAATTGAGGATTTTTTTTTTGGGGGGGCTGGCTCAGCCCACCCTGGGGGTGGGGGTGGGGCTGGCGCAGCATGTGGTGCCTGGGATTGAACCGTGGTCCCTGCACACTTGCCTAAGCAGGCGCTTTAGACCACTGAGCTATCTCGCTGGCACAAGAGTTCTTTATATCTTGACACTAGACCTCTTGTGAATTTTATGTAGTTTTCCTAACTCATCATTTCTTGTGTTTCATTATAGTTTTTTGACATTCATAAATAAAAATTTCTTTTTTTTTGCTCCGAATGCTTTCAGGGCATGATTGGCTGGCTTGAGTTGTGGGGATCGAACCACAGCAACCTGAGCCTGACAGCTTGGTTGAAGCAGCCACTTAAAGAACTGAGCTAAGGGGCAGGCCCCCTAAAAATTTCTTAATAGAAAAACCTAACAGGTGTTGAAATTCCTTTCCTCAACTTAATTTCTTCTAATTCTTTTTATAGGTTCACTTTTTGTATTGAGTACTTTATTCTATCTAAAGTTTATTTTGGAGTGTGACAAGACTAAAGTTTTTCCCTGGACTCTAACTTTTTATTGTAACATAATTTAATGGATTATTTACCTTTTCTTAAAATGTTTGAAAAATCATTCCGTCCCCTACTAAGTGCTCTGCTCAGGCCTCTCTTTCCTAGGCGATCTCCCACGGACCACCTGGAGATACCAAGGAAGACCCTCCCCGAGTCCACACACGAAGCTGTTGCCCGCTTCACAAGCCCACAGGATCTTGCGTGTCTTTATCAGACCTCCTGGGACTGTCACAAACATGGGGCTACTTGCCGAAAGGCTCTACCCTGCAGATGAAAACGCTGATCTGTGTTCTTCCTCACTGTTCCAGCATCTAGCAAATGCTGAGCATAAACATGGTTCCAAATAATGTCACGTTCCAAATATCAAAGCAGGGCTTGATTGACATTGTTTCCTGTGATTTTTTTTTTTTTTTAATAATCCTTGGAGTAGATGCTCTATTTTGCAAATGAAAAAATGGCGGCAAGACAGAAAGAAGCTGTTCAAGGTCAGTTTGGTCAGTATGTGGCAGAGCAAGAGCCCGACCTGAAGGCTTCTTATCCTGGAATCTGCTCCTTACAGCTGCTCTGGAGTCAGGCTGGGAGCGCCAACACCCTGCTGAGAGTATTTTGCTATGGATGGAAGCAGGGGGCCCAGTGACGCAGGGGGCCCAGTGACACAGGGGGCCCAGTGACGCAGGGGGCCCAGTGACACAGGGGGCCCAGTGACGCAGGGGGCCCAGCGACACCAGGCAGTGCCGAGCCTGTGCATCAGACTATGTCTTCTCCACCCAAGTCTTTCCCAGAGTTAGAAACACTTCAGTGCCACTTCTGGTTTAATCAGAAAGAAGGTACGAAGTGGAGGACACCATCGTGTCTTTGTATAAAACAGGTGGACAGGCAGGAAGCTCGGCAGAGCTAGGCTGGCGCCAACTGCAGTCACCGGGCAATTTGGCTTTTGTTTTGCTTGTTTTGTTCGCAGAACAGAAAACAAAGCGTGACTATACTGCATAAACACAGAATGACTACATAATTTCCCAGTTGCTCAGATTAAAAAATTCAAGGAAGCTTAGCATCAGGAGAAGGCTTTAAATGGAGGTTTTTCTGCTCTACAATTCCATTTATAAACACTGTATCATATTGTTATATTGGAGACATTGCCAAACCGTGTTTATAAAATATTTGTTTAATGCATAATGAATAAGTAGCTGGATGGGTGAATGAACTGACAAATGAACTTAGATATATGGGGACCTGTTTCTTATTGTTCCATCTATTGCTACAAGAGAGTTCCTATTTCCTTCATCTGCACGGCAGATGCTATGCGCACCAGAAATGTGTAAGTCTGAGTGGAAACCCAAGCTGCTCTCAGGCATGGAGGCATACCACTCACGCGACACCCTGCTCATCCAGACAGACCAGAGCAGTGACGGCGAACCTTCTAGAGCTTTCACTGATACAAGAAGCCTCCTGTGGCTTGTGTGCCATAGGTTCACCATGACTGGACAAAGTGGTAATTAAAAGTAACTATAAATAGACTTTTTTCTTGGAGACTGTATGAAGCTCTACACACATAAAAAGCTACTGCATAGTTCTGGACAAATGAATCTTAGTGGGAAATCTGTAAGTCACCAAACTTGAACATGTTTTGAAAAGACCTGAATCAGTCCTCTCTGCTTTAAAACATCAAGGACTCAGAGTCTTGGTTTAGGGCTGTTTTCTAGAATAATATTCTAAGAGCATGTGACACGTCTCCATAAACATACTTCTTGTCTCACACACATTGTGCCCATCAATACAGCCTTTATGGAGC